GTTTGTCATCTGCAACTCGTGATCTTGCATGTACTCATATATAAACTCATCTTTGCCACTCCGGGTGTCCTCCGACATTGAGCTTACTGTTCGGGCTATTTCACTGCGCCACTCCTGAAGCATCTCTCCAGATGCAATGGATTATTGGGGGATGTTCTGGTAAGATTTGTGATCATGTGGTGTTTGTCATGAATCTTCCTTGAGTAACTCCTCTAGCCTTCTCTATCCAATGCCCTATCAACTCTCAACACCCAGTCGAAGTTCAAACTCATCTTTCCTCGTAATTCGTACCTCCCTTAGCTCCATCCTCCTCTACACGGCCCGTTACCTGCTATGGCTTCTAGCCGAATATTCTGCACTGAATTTCCGTATGCTTTTTCTCGTGCTTTTATCTACCTAACTGACTCCGCTGCAGTTTTTTTTAACGGTGGAGATACACTATAGAAAAGCTCCCCTTGGCTTGACTTGCTTGAATCACATTGGCGTTATTGACTTTTTGGTAATCTGTTTGACATTTAGAAGGTAATGGCTAACAGCTGAGGGCGGCAGAAAAACAGAATGTATGGTTTCCAGTTTCACTTTTATGTATGTAAGCCTGAAAGGTTCAGGGATAATTCGATTCCTGTATTTGGTTGAACTCGAAGGGCTCAAGGCACCGGGTTTTAACTCATTCACTGCAAAGCAGATGTAAACCATCAAGCATTGGTCCATTTAAGATGAACTGGTTACCGCGTGTGTACAAGTGTTCTCAATGTAGCAGTGTAAGGATATATTTTTTTCAGATAGGTGCAGTTCACCTAAACATGATGAACGGTTTGGAATTAAGAATGCAACTTTTCCTGCCCAGAGCACTGCTGCTTTTTTTGCGATCGCAATCTTCCCGCTACAACATTTCTTTCGTTGTCTATTTCGCAATAGGCTGTAATAAATAAAGAAGCCATTTGATTGCACATCAAGTCCTCGGTGTCATTTCGGATTTGCCCCACTACGCATGGAATCTTTTAATGCCAGTTCCCAACTACAAAAGACGTCGAGGGCAAATCACTTATGAGCTCTGATGAGTCGTTCCTCTGTTACCGAAATCCGCTTCAGACTTCGGCTTTTTTTGTTTCACAATAGTACTCGTGATCGAACGAAATTTCCAATGTTTGATCGATCGTTACGACGACTGACGCCTTTCGTGTTCACCAATATGACAGTTGAGTTTGGCGGGTGAAACCAAGTTCTGCAGACCAATAATAGTACTTAGGACCTTGGAATTGCTGAAATATCTCGGCTGGCTCTGAGTCACAGACTATGTGTTGATACTTGCATCGGATCCAGATTCGTCTGGCTTGTTCCGACTAAGTGATGAACCACAGCTTCTCGGCCATGTGTGTACCGTCAATGTTAGTCGCAGATTGAAAAAACACTCAGTATGGTTTTAAACACTCTATCGTCACTACAGGACCTTTATGACAACTTTCTTCCGGAGATGAATGAGTCTGCCACAAGAATATCCCGAATCATTGCTGCCCATGTAGCATACTCGGTAACCAGGTCCGAATACAACGTCCCGCTGTTTCACCCCCTAGACCATCTCCAGACCAAGTGTTTCAACGTCGGCCGTAAACGTAAACAACCAGGTTTTCAATTATCTTCCGATCTCTCGTTTGTGGTTTTCTACAACTGAATATGCCGCAAACAGGCCGCCTCACGATTCAGTTGGCACGATGTTCGAGATATCACAGTATATCTTCATAAAGGGAACTACTCACAAGGTTGCTGGAAACTCTTCGACAGCCCACGATGGGTTTCGCCCTTCTTGGGGCTCATCAGGTAGGCGCAGTCCCCGAGTCTCCGTCGTGGGCTGTCGAAGAGTTTCCAGCCTCCTTGTGAGTAGTTTCCTTCATGAAAATAAAGATTGATTTGTTGTTTGAATACTCCTATCAGTTTGCTTATTGGAGATCGTGTACGAAGTTGGATGCCGTTTCTTATTTGGTGCACGAGATTATTTATTCTCTTGACCATAGTGATGAGGTGGTTCAGTTTTTTTTCGTGAACCGAATCCATGTTAGCTCGGTGTGTTATTTTGTTGACAGAGGGGATGAGAAACTGCTGGCTGAAGTTCCCTCGCGCTTTTCGATTACCTGTATTTAGCTTTAGACGACCTTGCAATGTATTAATCCTCATGCTTCCTTCGAGTTGCACGATGGCCTACACCGGAAGAGTGATTTGTTTCCATTGATATCGTCGACGGGGAGGTTCTGTTTGGGCTTTTCTCTGAAAGTGGTGGGCACTTTGATTTCACCCCACTTTTTCAAGACAGTCACAAATCGGGCCGAACTTACAAGCCTGGGTTGTTAAAACCCAGATGTTCTTCTAAAGGGCTATTTTCCTCGCTTTTCCTTGTACGTTGTTAGCCTGCCTGTTCTCGTTTTTCTCATCCGTCACAGATGTTCTGATGTAGCAACTGGTTGTACTTGTGACACGCCGAAAGCTTATATGGGGCTTCCAGCACCACTGTCCTAATGTACATAATTCCCCTTTATTCAAGAGAACCTTACGATGACCTTATCGGTAAACTTCTTTCGTTTTTGATCGTTTTCGCACTCCTAAATCCTCCACGGCGGGGTTCCTTACGGTAGTAATGTAAACTAGCCTAAGGGGTTCACCTCAAGTGGTTCATCATCATCAGCTGGTGGTCTTCAAGAAAGTTCAAAGACTAGTGTTTGTCATCTGCAACTCGTGATCTTGCATGTACTCATATATAAACTCATCTTTGCCACTCCGGGTGTCCTCCGACATTGAGCTTACTGTTCGGGCTATTTCACTGCGCCACTCCTGAAGCATCTCTCCAGATGCAATGGATTATTGGGGGATGTTCTGGTAAGATTTGTGATCATGTGGTGTTTGTCATGAATCTTCCTTGAGTAACTCCTCTAGCCTTCTCTATCCAATGCCCTATCAACTCTCAACACCCAGTCGAAGTTCAAACTCATCTTTCCTCGTAATTCGTACCTCCCTTAGCTCCATCCTCCTCTACACGGCCCGTTACCTGCTATGGCTTCTAGCCGAATATTCTGCACTGAATTTCCGTATGCTTTTTCTCGTGCTTTTATCTACCTAACTGACTCCGCTGCAGTTTTTTTTAACGGTGGAGATACACTATAGAAAAGCTCCCCTTGGCTTGACTTGCTTGAATCACATTGGCGTTATTGACTTTTTGGTAATCTGTTTGACATTTAGAAGGTAATGGCTAACAGCTGAGGGCGGCAGAAAAACAGAATGTATGGTTTCCAGTTTCACTTTTATGTATGTAAGCCTGAAAGGTTCAGGGATAATTCGATTCCTGTATTTGGTTGAACTCGAAGGGCTCAAGGCACCGGGTTTTAACTCATTCACTGCAAAGCAGATGTAAACCATCAAGCATTGGTCCATTTAAGATGAACTGGTTACCGCGTGTGTACAAGTGTTCTCAATGTAGCAGTGTAAGGATATATTTTTTTCAGATAGGTGCAGTTCACCTAAACATGATGAACGGTTTGGAATTAAGAATGCAACTTTTCCTGCCCAGAGTACTGGGTTTGCTTTTTTTGCGATCGCAATCTTCCCGCTACAACATTTCTTTCGTTGTCTATTTCGCAATGGGCTGTAATAAATAAAGAAGTGATTGGATTGCACATCAAGTCCTCGGTGTCATTTCGGATTTGCCCCACTACGCATGGAATCTTTCAATGCCAGATCCCAACTACACGTCGAGTGCAGTGCAAATCACTTATGAGCTCTGATGAGTCATTCCTCTGTTACCGAAATCCGCTTCGGACTTCGGCTTTTTTTGTTTCACAATAGTACTCGTGATCGAACGAAATTTCCAATGTTTGATCGATCGTTACGACGACTGACGCCTTTTGTGTTCACCAATATGACAGTTGAGTTTGGCCGGTGAAACCAAGTTCTGCAGATCAATAATAGTACTTAGGACCTTGGAATTGCTGAAATATCTCGGCTGGCTCTGAGTCACAGACTATGTGTTGATACTTGCATCGGATCCAGATTCGTCTGGCTTGTTCCGACTAAGTGATGAACCACAGCTTCTCGGCCATGTGTGTACCGTCAATGTTAGTCGCAGATTGAAAAAACACTCAGTATGGTTTTAAACACTCTATCGTCACTACAGGACCTTTATGACAACTTTCTTCCGGAGATGAATGAGTCTGCCACAAGAATATCCCGAATCACTGCTGCCCATGTAGCATACTCGGTAACCAAGTCCGAATACAACGTTCCGCTGTTTCACCCCGTAGACCATCTGCAGACCAAGTGTTTCAACGTTGGCCGTAACTGTAAACAACCAGATTTTCAATTATCTTCCAATGCGGCAGTGCCATTCTGAGCAGAGCACTGGCGAAGCGAAACTTTGGACATTTAGTAGTCTGTTTGCGGGAGACGTGTCCCAACCACCAGTCTGCGCCACTGAATTGATTAAGGGAGCCGTTGGGTGTTGTAACAATACCACATATGGATACACTGTCTTCCCAACGTTCTTTGAGTATCTTCTTTTAGCACAAGTGGCAAAGTATTTCCGGTCTTTGAAGGTTGACAGTCCAGAGCGGCCGCGTCTCAGACGTATGATAGTACACATGGAACGGTCGCAGTGTACACAGAGTTTCGTTCGAAGGCCGATTTCAAAGCATTTCCGTTGAGGAGTTACCTAAACGTCTTTCTAGCGTTGTGGATGCGAACGTCCATTCGTTATCGTGCTTGACTATTTGGTAGGATGACCGGACCCAGGTACTGGAATGAATCGACTTGTTTTATGAGCTTTCGGTTAACACCGGATGAGCTAGACTGGACATCTATGGTTGTGGTGAAGAATTTCGTTTTTTCCATGTTTTTTTCAGTCCAACCAACGAAACCTAGCGGCCGAAATGATCAAAGATGGGCTGCATTTCTGTTGAATCTTCACTCCGAATGACGATATCATCCAGTGTATGGGTCTGTGATCCATGTACTATGGCTTACGGATATTCCAGAGAAGTCGCTTGAGAGTCATTACTGGAAGGTGTCAGTGAAACTGGACATCCTTGTGGAACATTGGAGTTTGAAGCAAACGTCGTGGTCTCTCCCGTATATCCGGATGCACTTTTCGTGCTCTCCAAGGCTGTTCCCATCGATCGGATTCGTAGGTCGTGAGTTGTACTGGATGATAAGGAGAAATTTAATCCGCAAGGATATAGTCTGAACCGTGCCTTCACCGGTTTCTGTTCCACGATGAAATGTACGGTTTCGAGGCTGCCACGAGGCTATGGTCTATACGGGAAGCTGTGCTACCGCCATTGGAATACCAAGTTAGCAGAAGCCCGCAAACGTGTATTGGATAGTATGAGTCAGTCGAGGGGGGAAAGTTGGTCAATCAGTCGCAGTTTTCTCAGCGTTCTCATGAGCTAATCTTTCCAAGGATGTGATGAGTGGCGTCGTTCAGACCCTCAATCAAGTTCCAGTCGGCAGAAACCAGGATATCGCACCTCGCCACTCATTGTAGCTCATCGTAGATATCGTCAATGACCGAGAGGGCCGATGAAGGGGTGGGGGGAGCATACAGTGATGACACTTTAGAAAGCCCTTGAAACCAACTGACGCAATCCCAGACAACACTGTCTCCCAAGAGACCAAGACGTCATGGAAGTGTGTGTAAGAGCAAGAGTCCGAATTGTTATTTGGGCCGCAATAGTACAGTCAGTTTGAATATCCCATTCCTGATGTCTTGATGCGCTGGGAATCGAAACCAGGAATTCATATCTCTTAGAAGCTTGCAATATCAACTTGGTATTCAAAGAGGGTTCGTACGATGCGACTGGCTTCCTACATCAAGCAGAGTACGGGCATTCCCGCACCCGATGTGCATCGCGTTCCTGATTTCGGGGAACTTAAACTTTATCACCACAATGGCTCAGCCAGTGTCGGAAGCGTCCCTTACCGAAGACGTCATAGCATCAACGGAGCTTTCCCATCTTATATATATTCTTGAAATAGCACGAGACTGTGTATGATCGACACTACCTTTGTCCGAGAGTGCACCTCTTGTCTTTGAGCAGCTAAGTGCAGACGGCAAGCCAGAAGGAAGGCTTGGAGAACAGAACTGACAGGTTGGCCAGTTGAGCATGAGCCATTCGCGTCAGATCTGATCTTTGTTCATTTGACGAACTACATAACCGTAGTGATTTTATCTTCCAGCTTCTCGGCCTGAGTACATGTGGAACTGGACAACACTCAATGTACTCAATCCGATTCAGCGTGATTTCAAGTGCGCACGTTCATTAATGATTCCACCCTCTTCTTGGGTATTTACCCAAAGACGCTTCCTTGAGATTTTTTCTTTCATGGGTTTCGACGCAGACATCAGGAGGAGCTTTGACACAACTGATGCCTCCACCTTAATCATAACCGAAGGCTTTGTTCTTGTTAATAGTTCGTCCTTTTGTGCACTCCATCCCGTTGCATTTTTGATACATTCTGCGTCTCGAATTGAACACTCAGCTTCGCTTTTTGTTGCTTTCGACTCACAAGTCCAACATTTATCAAATGTAACTACTGACTCCTTTCCAATGACCGACAATCACACGTTTTTTCCAGTTAATTGCCGTATTTAGCACCTAAACGACCAGTAACTCTGTTATTGGCACGCCGGCTGAGTGATTTAATGTGGCGGTGCTTCTCATGAACCTGCATATGCAGCCCTCGCATTTGTCAGGGCCGTAGAAACCCAATCGGATGTTTGTATACTGAGGCCATCGGAGTGTACGCTAATCGTCTTCTCCTGGTGCATTAGGTGCACACTAGGGGCCGCATGTTTGCATATCACTTCAGCGGATCGAACACAGCTCCACACAGTTCACGTGAAAAATTACGTGTGCATCAGTGCGGAAAGATCACAAACACCGGCGAACAAACAACCCATACCTCAGAACGACATGATCGTAGGATAAATCTATCACGTAAGCTTTAGCCTGCCATGGGATAAGGAAGATCATATGTTTGATGAAATTGCTCAATTTCGATTTGTGTCACACCAGAAGCCACTTATCTTTGTCTCGTTGGCATCTCATGAACCCTAACGAAAGACTCGAGTCCTGGACATTTAGCATGCAGTTTGGGCACTCCTTGAGTTACTCATGGCAAACTAACAGTGCAGCTAACTTGCACTGTAATTCCGCCCGTACTCAAAAGTGTCTGTATGCACCAGGAACTCCCTCCTGGTGTGTTCACAACAGTTTTCCTTTTAGTTTGCACCTTATCCGATCCCCCTGAGAACAGAATGTCCCTTTTTTCCATGGTGACCACCTTTGATGTACGGCTATAGTGACTTCTGTTCACCAGTATAAATGGACGTTTTCATGATCTATTGAGATCATTTCGGAACAGATACTAGTAGTACAACATAAGTGGTTTTAAATCGAGTTTTTTTCGGGGGAACGACTTACTTTCAACCAGTTGCCACGCGTTTAGTTTGCTACGGACTATCGTTTGTCAGAAATGGCTCTAACTCTCATGACGGCTGCACACAGCAGCTCCTGCTCCCTCATACAATTCTGCCACAGCGAAAGGAGACAGCTAGCTTTCTTAGAAGTGTTTTTCTTTTGAAAAGACTGTCTGGTAGCTTGTGACTAACGCGGACTGTTAAACGAGTAGGCCTTTTGTTGGGTGGGGATCCGCTCACCTTACTACACAGGCAAAGGTCACAATCACTGGACAGGTTGTAGTATAAGAGTTTTGTCGGTGCGGTTTATTTTCACAGATGTCGCATGGTTTATCACAAATATATTTTGGGGAACTCCATTTCCCCTATCAGTCATAGTTTTTGCATTTCATCTCCATTATGTTCTTAGTTATCGGAGTTTGTGTACTGTGCTTCTACGAGATGCCATGGGATTTCTACTCCTGTTCGATTTGACGAACGAGCAGAGCTTGTACAACTGTCGCGATTGGATGCAACTCTTATGTCAACATGCTTACTGTGAGCGTCCAGATGTCATTTTGGTCGGGAACAAAACCGATCTAACTTCGGAACGACAGGTTCCCCTGTCAACTGCCACAGCGGTTGCTCGTGAGCTCAAGTGAGTTACATGATGTTCTCAACGGCAGAGCTGCAGGCCTCAACTTTACCTTTTTATCACAGTTTTC